TCACTTCATTTTTTGCAAGCCTGATTTGCCCAAGGCATTCTCAACCCTCGCTTGGCTGGTGAGTTCAACCATATTTGTGGCATTTTGTGGCTATGAGAATCTCATATTCATTCATTTACCATCATGGTTTTACCATCGTGGATGGGTGTACCATGGTGTACCTAGGACAGTTGGGTGACTGTTTCCGTCAGCCCCTGTAGCCCATCTAAGTTGTTGGCTTCTTCTAATCTTCACTGATTCATGCCCACATGGTTTGGATGTGACTGTGTATATATATATATGTATATATAACATTATATAACATCCCCGATTTTAAATTGTAAAATTTCTATTGAATCTATTCATTTTTTGGTTTTTAGATGTTTTTAGGGATCAAACATCATCGATGCGGATAACAGCCACAGGTTTTCACCATAGATGTGGATATCATCACCTGAGGCCATCGACTTCTTGAGGGGCTTGGGCGAGCGCTTCCTGGCCTTGGGTTTCAGCACGCCCGGAGCCTCAGGTTGCTCAGTTCGGATGGATGTTTGTAATGGATGGATCTTTCAGGAGAGTTGGAACCAAACATAGAGGCATTAATATGACTGAATATGATTTATATAAAAATGATTTAATCTTCTTTAGTAGGATTTAGTATGATTTCATAGAATATCATGTGATTTTAATGAGATTTAATTTTGATATTATGTATAACGTTTTTAATGTGATTTGATTTGAATTAATTTGATTTGCATGATATGATTTGAAAAGGGATTGACGTGGTTCAATATGATTTAATGTGGGGGGTTCAGCCACGAAAAAGGATTGGAGGACCAGTCATGGAGAGTGAACCACATGGGTTTGGGGATTTGGTGACAGTTGACGCAGTTGACGCAGTTGAGACAGTGACAGGTAGGAGGTTGAATCATTGAAGCTACCAACCATATCCCAAAATGAATAGATCCGGTACTAAAGCATGGTTTCCTGGTATTTAATTCCCATATCGCCCATAGCCCCATGATATTTGCATTTTTTGCACACCATTACACCATGGAGCTATGGCAGTTTTCACCATGGCTACATGAAAAAAACGACCGAGGCCGTTGCTGCACATTGGATCTGCTTTCATGTACCCAACGTTGGAGGAGGTCACCGATTGATTCACCAAATGATGGTGTTTCACATGTGAGGAGTTAGATTCAGTTAGATCACTGGTTGGTGGTTTGGAACATGATTTTAATTTTTCCATTCAGTTGGGAATGTCATCATCCCAACTGACGAAGTCATATTTTTCAGAGGGGTAGGTCAACCAGCAACCAGATCAAACTCAGCATTGGTTGAAGAGGGACCTGGCCATCAAATGGATGAGTAGGGCACTGCTCGTTGACACGCTTCCCAACCTCGGTTTGTGTATTTCTCCTTGTCCCCGTTTTTTTTTGTTCATGTTTCATCGATATTTTGGGATGTTTCCCAGGCCAAGCGGGCAGTTGCTTTGGCGGGTGAAGCCATTCGCAAGAACGGACTCCCCAAGGCCTGGATGGTAAACAAGAAACCGCAGTCACTAGCCATGGTAGTACTATAGATAGTTGATGATAGATATGATGATATTAATTAATATGAATTATATATAATATTATAACATTATAGATAGTTATAACTACTTATATATAGTTGATCATGTTTAATTTATATATATATATAGTTGATGATAGTGGGTACTACATGATGGTAAAATGAATGTTATGGCATGTTATAGCATGTTATAGCATGTTATACCACCTTTTCTTGACAAAAGGACGCCATCTTCAATGCCATGGGGACCCATCAGATGGCTGGGGGTGTTCAGCAGCTGGCAAGGTGGATCAGGTGGATATATTTTCGTCCTGATGAAATCACCACGGTTCCTGATGTTGGTGTACCCGGCCTGGTAAACTAACAGTTTGCTATTGAACATGGCCCAGTCGAAATAGTGGATTTACCATGATTTACCCATGAATATCCATGAATAGCATGGAGATTTCCCATCGTTTTTTGTGCTGACCTGATTTTGGTGTCACTTTGTGAAATCCCCCTGTCACTTTGGTGTCAACTGTCAATGTTGGCGCCAGAAGTTTTGCTAGGCAATGTGTCCCTTCACTGCCATCTTCACTGGGACCGAATGCGAGGGAGATGACTGGGTTGATGTCAACCGGTCCGACGATCAATCGTGACCATATTTATGCCGTATACAAATTCTATGTTCTGTATGTATATATATATATATAGTATAGTTATATACATATAGTATTGAAATTCAACCTGATTCATATTCTGTCTAGATAATGTTCTTAAGTCAAAATACTGATAGTGTGAATAGATGACACAATATACCAGATAAGTCCAGGGTCCTACTTTTTGAGGTCCTAGGAAATTCCGCAGAATGTGGTAAGGTACGTGTCAATCATGATTAAGCTGATGTACTTTTCGGGTCTTTGTTCCAAGTGAAAGTTGCACAATACAGTGCCATAATTCATAATGCACTCAAGGTTGTGCCTGAAAACATACAACATCGGAGCCTGAAAGGTTCATGGCAGTTGTGAACAAACACGTTTGCAAATCGTGATCAGTTGATACCAAACCCTCTGACTCATCCGTCATACCTCGGCTCCGTTCGTGTTCAATACCCCCAAACAAAGTCCTGGTCGATCCACAAATTGGGGTCTCATATTTGGGGTTTCGCTATACCGGGGAATCGGAATGACTTTGGTAAGTCATTGAAACATGCTCTGCAACATGTTCTTCAGATTCGCGTTTTTTTTGACACTCCAGCCGTGCACGTGAGTTCAGGACTGGCAATGTGAGTCAGGACCTTGTTGAACGTGTTGGCTCCCTGTGAAGCTTCCCATTTTATCCTGTGGCATGAAACATGTCCAGTGGCAACAATCCCCCATGTATGTATCCATTTATGGATGTGTTTGCCCATCTTGACGCCCATTGATGGGGGAGTTCCCTGCTCGTTTTGGTTTCATAACTGGAAGGTAAACCACAAAATGGACTGTTCTTTGATGTTTCCGTCTGCGAATCATCTCCGTCATCTTGAGCCAGCGATATTTGGAAACCACATCCTCCATCAACTGGAAGGGGTACCATGTCACTGCGCAATCTCTATCCAGATGAGCAGTGATAGATATTAGCTTCTGCCAGCAGATTGTCATTCCGAGACCACCATTGTATATACGTAATAATAACCAAGGGTATAGTTATATTTATATATAAAGACACTCCCTTGAACTTCTGGCTCAAGCATCAATCATTGGCCTCTATTCTCAATTTTGTGGGTTCATATTCATTTTGGTTCATTATCCATGTTTGGAAATCTTCGATTTTTTTGTGTATATCATCACCATGGATGCAAAGGTCAGGGAGCTCTGGAGATTTTCAAGCTGTTGCCTCACGAAATTGCAGCTGCCTCGGCGTGAAACCTTTGGTTTTTCTGTGTGAAGGCTCAGGGCCTTGAGAAAGCGGGGCAACCTTAGGTCAAACATCATCAAAATGTTAATCTTGCGACGTGCGATCACTTTCACATAAAAAACATGGGGCATGCGAAAATGTGTCCCAAAATCATTCCAAATCCATGAGTAGTGATATCATCCCATATTCCATTTGATGATTTTCCCATTTATAGGGGGGTTTTCCATGGCTATGTTAGTCATAACCAGAGGGTAATATATCGCTATCATTCAGAACCCCCAGAACCCCCAGGGGCCCCAGGACGGTCAGCATCAGGTGGATCCATCCGAACTCCAGCGACTTTGCAAGCGACTTTTGGCTCTGATCTGGCTAGGAAAACCCACGAATCTTGTTGATTTTGAATGATTTTGATGGGAAATTCATTCAACGATTTTCGGATGAACATGATGAACTAGTCAGGTAACTGAGTACTGGATTGAAATGGGGAGATGCTGCAATTCTTTTTTTGGTTCTGGATTGAATCCTGGGTCCCTGTACCTGGTTGATATCCAGCATGGAAAATCGTGCAATGGGCTTGGGCCCCAATATATTAAGGTGGTCTGAGATATTCGGACATATCTGTGCTATTTGTAAGTTTTGAAGTGCCTCTTACCATCTCTTACCTACGTGTTTGCTTCATATTGGCTTGACCACTTGCCAACTATCCTGGTATATCCTGGTACTTAATAACTCTTACTGCTGTTCGGTGGTCCATTAACGACTCAACGACCCAGATCGACCCATGGGATCCAAAGATGTCCACGACCTGAGGAGCAGATCGGGGTGAGCTTTCCCGAGAGGCCGCCTCACAATGATAGTTCCATAAAATTCCATAAAGTTCCATGCAATGTCATAAAGTTCCATAAGATTTCATAAAGTTCCATATAGTTCCATATAGTTCCCAATCTCAACCTGAAGAGTTCGGAAGTTGGATGGTGAACCTTTTGCCATGGCCACGTGTTTTAGGTAAGCCATGGTTGTTGTCATGGTGGCTCCGGGCTTTTTGTTGAAGCATGACATCAATGAAGGGGAAGTCTAATTCAACGGCCCATGACTCCCATGACTTTATCAGCAGCCGAAGCGCGTCCAGGCTCAAAAATATCCAAAAATAGCGCAGATCAGTTCACAACACAACAGACAGAATCGGGAAAAAGGGAAATGATGCCACCCATTTTCCAAAAGGAACAACTTGAAACGCCATTCACTGAAAAGACCCGTGTGAGTTCAGATGCCGTTGATGTTGTAGATGTTGTAGCGAGACCATGGAATGGTGGATGGGGTCACAAGCTCGACCCCCCATGCCTATGAGCAGCTTACAAGATGTCAGAATCCAGGGTACTTTCAAGCGACTTACCAACCAAGATACAAACCAACATCAACCCACCAGTAGAAGCAATCCACTCCATCCACCAGTCCTTTTTCATTCGTGGAGGAATGACTTGTGATACCTTGTGTGATATCTTTGATCAAGCACTGAGACCGTCCATAAGACGCCGTGGAGACACGGTGCGGATCGTCGAGGAGTCGCCATGGAAGATGCTGAGCCAAGAGTTAAAAAGAAGAAGATCAAGCCTGGCTCTTTCCAGGGCCTTGGGCTAAGCTCACCGACCTACAAAGCCATTATGAGTAGCTTGTTTTGAAACTGTTTCACACAGCTTTAATTAACAATATTAACATGCTTTAACTTAGTAAAGGTGTCTTGAAGCTTTGCCAAAATGACCTGAACAGTTTTTGCAAGCATTAGTTTCCAAAAAGTTGTGGGGACCAAGTGACGAACGACTTGGAAGCTACGCCCAATTCTAAGGGGAATGGGAATGGAAAATACACAGAGATTATAATATAAACTATTAAACAATTATATAACCCCTGTATTTTTTTCCTATGACATATTTTATTCCATCTTATTTCCCCTGAGGAATGGGCTACAAAGTGCCCACTCCCATCCAGCGCAAGACGATTCCAACCATTTTGGAAGGTCAGGACATGGTGGCTATGGCCCGCACGGGTTCCGGCAAGACGGCAGCCTTTCTGATCCCCATGGTTGAACGCTTGCAGAGCCATTCCACCTCCGTGGGCTTCCGCGGTGTGGTGCTGTCACCCACCCGGGAACTCGCGATGCAAACGGCCAAGTTCTGCCGACAGCTCTGTAAATTTGGTGACCTGCGATGCTGTTTACTGGTGGGAGGACAAGGAATGGAGGCACAATTTGAACATTTGGCGAACAACCCTGACATGGTCATTGCCACCCCAGGCAGATTGATGCATCACATTTTGGAGGCAGAGCTTTCACTGTCTCGGGTGGAGATCTTGGTTTTTGACGAAGCAGATCGTCTCTTTGAGTTAGGTTTTGCGGAACAACTACAAAAGATTCTGGATGCAACACCCACATCTCGACAATGCTTGTTATTCTCAGCCACCTTGCCAGCACAGCTGGTCTCCTTCAGTCGTGCTGGAATCAAAGACCCAGCCTTTGTGCGCCTAGATGTAGAGACTTCACTTAGTGAGTCGCTGGATCTCTGGTATTTGTTCATCCGGACACTTGGATTTGCTCTTGATTTAGTCATTTTCCCATTTGTCAATCAGAATAATCAGTCAATCCCAACAGAAATGGGGAATCTATAGGAATCTATTAGGAATCTATAATATAGGAATCTATAGGCTTATAGGAATCTATAGACATTTGATGACACGTGGTGAATTTTTCAGAGCCATCTTCTTCGCAAATCCCAGGAAAGATGAAAAAATTGCAGCTGCCATCTCTGTTCTGCGGCGCTTTCATCGGGATGAGAAGACCACCATCATGCACTTTGGCAGAGCTTGACGAAGGGTAGCATCGAAGATGTAAGAAATGATCAACATTTCTCAGAATTGGCTCATTGTTCAATGGACACATTGCAAAACCATTTCATTTCAGTGTTTTCCAAAGCTGAGTTTCCTGGGTTGTCCAAATTGATCACGCAACCAATTCACATGAGTCCTGTGTATTGGATCACTTTACTGGGCCGTGATCAGAGCCGGTTTATGGAAATTTCCTCGGCTCAACATAGCTATCCCATGGCAACCTATGGCATCCCCAATATTCTCCGTTTCATTGGCTGTTTGAGAGGAATCTGCTAATCTGCAAATCCCGGTCAGATATCACAGATATCTCAACTTCATTCACATTCTGGACGCCTTCAGGGTAGTATAAATGGCCATTCAATCGGTCGATGCTGGTATTGCACAGGTCTGTCCTACTTAGTCCTACTTGGCTTGTAGATTAACTCGCTGGCAATTCAAACATAATAAGAATGGATGACCACTTCAAGATCCCAAAAATTCTTGACTAATCCATACTAATCCCAATATTCTCATGAGATCCATTGGAACAGGTTTGATAAGTTAAGTTTACTATAGTTTCATCCCAATTCTTGTAGACAGACAGCCATAGGCACACTAGATTTGAAAATTATGACCTTCGTATTTCGGGAAAGATTGCCACGTCATGCCACGTCTATATCCAATTGTGTCTCTTTTGCCCAAGTTTTACGGTGTGGAATTTGCTGGTCCATGACCAGATTAGATTCCCAAAAGCACAGCAATATGCAACAAACAGTTTGCTCTCCTAATACTTCCCATGTTCGATAATTTTTAATGAAATCCCCTTGGTGAGATCCCCCCAGTGAGGGTTCTTCACCAGCTGGCAAGGTTTGTGGCCACCAAGCACCACGTGGAGTTCTTTGGCGAGCTGCTCCAACAGCAGGGCCTGCCAGCTGCCATGGTCTATGGCACCATGGACCAAACGGCTCGTCAGGAGCAGGCGAATCAGCCAAAATGGCGTGGAAATCCAAGTTTTCTTTCTATTTCTACTATTTTCTACTTATATAGTACTTGGTTTAAAAGGAACTGTTCAGAACATAATAATTACCATCAAGAAACAAATCATAAAAAGGTGGATTTGTGATCTGGACAACATAAAATTACCATTAATGGATAGATAAATGATGGGTTTGCCATTACCATTTCTTTAAATAGAGGGTAATGGGATATATCTCATGGATGATCCAACTGGAATGGAAAGGCGAGTAGATGGTTTGAAATTTGTATGGCCCTTGATATATTCCAGTTGTGTTAATGATGCATAATATATGTACACATGCATATGTCTATATTCTATCAAAAACATTCATAGGAGGACACCAAAGGTCGTTGTTGTTTGACACCTTTGAGATCCTTTTAGACATGCCCACATTCCCACTTGCTGTTTTCTGCCCGAGATGGGTTCAGGCAAGCATGTGGTCGTGTTTTCTTGTGGCAGGTTGCAAAATTTCGAAAGAAGCAAGCAAGGATTCTAGTCACCACAGATGTGGCGGCTCGTGGTGTGGACATTCCACTGCTGGACCATGTGCTGAATTTCGACTTTCCCTCAAGTGCAAAGCTGTTTATTCACAGGCCGGGGATATGGGACATGGGAGAAGAAGACGGCTAGTCATATTTGGGGAGGATCTGAGGATACGGATCATTCTCCAACTTAACTGAATTATACAGAATTTATGAATATCTAGTGTATATATAATAATGTATGATGATACAATATGTAGTTTGGTTAGATAGGCACATAGGATCAGATAGGTAAATTAGATTGATAGGTACGTAGATAATACACCTCTTATATATATATATATACAAACAAATTTAAACTACATAAATTAGTTAGTTGCATACATATATAAATATATATAATATCCTGGTAAATATGCTATGACTCAAACATCTATCGACAGCAGGTGTGGCCGTACAGCGCGCGCGGGGCGCTCGGGGCTGGCGGCATCACTGGTGACGTTGGATGACTTGCCATACACTGTGGAGCTAATGACCCGGGGCGCAGAAAATCTTGGGTTTTCTGTTTTGTAATGGACAATACATATATAATTATATTTAAACAATTATACATAAATAGTTATATATATAAATATATAATTATATAATTATATAAATAATGATATAATTATATATAATCATATATAATCATATATAATCATATATAATCATATATAGTTATATATAATTATACATATAATTATATTATAATCATATATAGTTATATATGATTATACATATAATTATATTATAATCATATATAGTTATATATGATTATATATGATTATATATAATTATATATAATTATATATAATTAATTATAGATAATCATTATATATATATATCATATATCTATCATTATATATATATATATTTATATATATATATATTATATAATTATCTATATCTATAGTTGTATATAATTATGTATACATAATTATATGTCTATAATTGATTATGCGATGGAATTGATGTATTTTAACGGATTGTTATGGATGTTCATGGAATGTATCGGTCTGTTTGAAAATTTAGAAGCACAACCCAATTTCCAATGGTTTAAACCTCATTTTCCGCATTTAAATTGCTGTAACAGGGGGTATACCCCGTTTTCAGACACACCCATATGTACATATGTAACTATATGAGCTACAGCCAAAATTTAGGTTAATGGACAGTAGTATTCGAGCAGTCTCTATTTTTTTTGAAATTGAGCTGGGGCTTGGAAGACGATAATGCACTCTTCAAAAAACGATAACATTTACTTATATACCAAAACCTGAAAAACGATAATACACTCTTCAAAAAGTGATGACTTGGAGCTATATACCAAATATTGATCGTGGCCCATATACCTATATATATATATATTCTGAATATATGTGTATATACATATATATATATATATATGTAGATTTGTATACATAGATATACAAAGCCAACGGTGACTTGGCCCAGGATTGACAAAAATTGATTGAAAAGCCAGTTTATTAAATCCACCAATTCTATTGGTCCGCTATCCCTATTTAGTTGGCCTGGGGCAAACTCTCCAGAAATATATAGAAATATAACTTATTCATTTGGGGTTGACATTAATCAGGGTCTTAAAACCACCAGAAGTATGATTGTGACCACAGAATTAATTGAGCCAACCGTTGATTCGTTACTTATTCATAGGGGGGTTATCGACCGAACCCCAACTGGTTGGGGATTAGTATGATTCGTGAATCTGCAAACCAGTTTTTCATGGGATACGGGTAGTTTTCATGGTTCGATGAAGCAATTAAAATCCAACCAGCTACATGATCTACATGGCGACCCTTCTATGAGTTAGGATTTGTTTTGACTTGGAAGACATTGCAAAACTTCTTTCCGACAGTACTCTTAGGATTGATGGGTTTCAGGAAAATAGATGGAAGATATATAGATCGAAAATACTATACAGGTTCTGGCCAGTTTCTGTGCCCCAACTTGATCAACACCAAAATGACGTCGAACGGAGATCATGTATGTTGCATTGGGGAAATCAATTGCCATTGAAGTCTTGAAGTCTGGTTCAAACAGCTGCTTCTTTGAACGGAAATGAATCCTTATTTGCTGTAAGGGATTTGCAATTATGGTTGCTAAACATTAATTTCTAAACTACACTCGCATTAATATCCCGTTGGATGGGAAAGGCTCCATGAGAACATCCCATTTGGATGGCTCGGTTTCTGTTGGGGGATCATTAGAACCTGAGATGTGCGAGAGCCCTGAACTTCCAGACCGAAAACCAATGGTTGTTTATCCCTGGGAGCATTTGTTTTTCCCACATGACAGATATGAGGTGCAGGGTGCGGAAACATTCATTGACTTTTGTTTCTCTGAGTTCCGAGTGTATAATAGTAATGACAATAAGAATGAAAGAGCAATAACTTAATGATAGTAATGATAGAAACAATATGTTCCTCTTCTTCAAGGAAGCCCTGTCAGGGAATGATAATCCTGTGGAACATAGAGAGAACCAAGCTCTACCCTCCAGTATATAAATGAACAAAAGAACTATGGAGAAAGCAATTTTCATGGAGAAGGCCATTTTAATGATATACAAATGGTGGGTTTTCGATGTCTATGTTAAATTACCTGGGGGGGTTATTCAATGGATCGGTTTATAATGGTTTATGCAAGGGATTTTTGGTCCAGAAATTGCAGGGTCCTGTAATTCCCCTCCGACCAACTCTTGGAATTCTTTCATGATAATTCCAGAAATATTAGGACTCATCAACCAGGGTCACGAACTGCTTGTGTTTCCCAAGATGCTCATTGATGCTGTCGAGTTTTTGAACAGGCAATAGCCAGATCCGTGGTGAGGGCGAAAAATCTTGGGATCCACTATACAAGTCTTGGAAATGATTGACTATTTTGTTCATGGGATGGATTCACTAAACCCAAAATAAAACAATAGTGATGATAACAATGATAATGATCATGATGGTAATACTCATACCAACATATCCCAACATATAATAACAACATCCACAGTTTTGAGAAACTGTGCCACCAAGGACCTTTCTGGGACACAAGTTGCAGCTTCCGGGTCAGGATGATTCGGATCGGAAGACTCCAGTCATCGGCGCCTTACCACCCTTGGATCATGAAATGGAAGCCATCAGTGGCATCATCACAGAAGCACCTCGGATTCAGCATGCTTGAGCCAAATTGCAGTTATGTAGTTGTATAATATGTAATAATATGTAATATAATTATTATATATGTATGTAATCATAATTAATAATACCTAGGAAAACCATGGAAAACGAAAAGGGCGAAACAAGTTGCCCCAGAGGCTCTTTGGTGCCTCAATTGATTTGAGGCCTTTTCATTTTGCTCAGGCGTGTTTAATTTTGCTGAGGTTTGTTTTTGTCGTCCTCACTTTTTCGTTTTTTCTCTGTTCTAGGATGGGTACATGATAGCGGAACTTGTGTCAAGTTCAAATATACCGCCTATACCTGCCAGCACAAAGTCTCGCTCAAGCCAATTCCAAATCTCAACAGGGTAACATCACCCAAAACTGGGGGCATGCTTCCTGGGATGAATTAGACGTGTTGTTTGAATTTGATTATGTCACCATATGTCGCCATTCTCTCACGCTCAGTTGGTGAACTCCCCTTTGATGTTTCTTTGTTGGCCTCAAACTCACTCCTGCGGCTGAAAAAAAAAACATGGGGCATGGCTTCCAGGAGGGCTCCATGTTGATGAGCCTTCACAAGTCCATGTTGGCCTCCTACAATTTGTACAACAAGACTCGCCCTTCAGCGTCCAAGTCCTCAGTGGCCAGGGCCAAACAGTTGCTGGAGGAATGTGGTGGTGCTGCTCAGCTACAAAGTATGCTACATCCTTCGTTCAGCACCGAAGAGTCGGCAAAGCAGCATGGTCACCAGCCAGGACTTGAAGACATGTTGTGTTTTCACATGTCACCCCTAATGTTTCTTCACATCTTCACTGGCTGTTTAATGGGCTGGTACCATTTTATATCATCACGAAGCGACCCCCTGATGATTCAACCATTTTTTTTTGTTTTTCCGGGGTTGACATCGGAGATGAACATCCAGTGGTCAGTGAGGTGGTTTGTGGAGGAAACCATCGCAGGGCTGGTCAAAATAATCATGTCAACATCATTTGGTAACGACCGCCATGTTCCCATGAACTTCGCTGGCGAACGTGGATTGCCATGGTTTCTTGTTAACACCTGGGCATGCACAGCATCCAGGATCTGCGATCACCTCCAGTTCGGATATGTCTTACATCCGAACTCTGCGAGGTTTTCGACCCAAGATCGAGAAGCTCGGGAACGTTTTGTCCGTGAATGCTATGCGCACCATGGAGCAAGCCAAGTTGGATGCTGCTGCGGTCTCTGCCACAGTGTCGCCAGAGGAAACTGAAGCCATCTTTGCCAAGCAAACAAAGTCCAGGGCGCCCTCCCCCGCCGCTGATGATGATGACTCCACGGCACACACTGCGGGACCATCCGTGAAACCTCAGCGTGATAAGCCACGAATCTCCAAGAAGGCTCGGAAGCAGGGCCGACACTTGGTTTTGCCATGTTTTGCAAGCATCTTTGAATGATACTGTATGATGCTGTATGATGCTGTGTTTTGTGCAGTGGGAATTCTGCAATTCAGAAAATCTGTACAGAACACTGGTGGTTTTTTCCACATGTTGTGTCACACCTACCAAGGACAAGGTGGAGCTGTGCACGACGATGGAGACTTTGATGTGAAAGTCTATGGTGATTCCAAGCGGGAAGCTGAAAGTCACCTGGCTTGAAGTGGCTTGAAGAGGATGCGGCTCAAGAACTTGGTCCGGCACAAGCTGAGGCACAACCATCAAGATGGGAGTATAGCCTATGATTTATGATGCCTATACATCAACTCTGATTCTGTTAACTTGCTTTTTGATGCTTGTTGTGTCAGCAGTGACTTAAGGATTTAGGAGGTTCTGACACGATCCCAACAACACATCTACTGACACTTTGAATGTGTCCAATCCAAGGGGCCGTATACAGATGTGTTTTTCCTTTGTTGACCATATCTAAACAACCATGAGATACATGGCTGTGGTATGGTCGCGGTGCAAGATCCGACACACCAACTTATGTGGTAGTTTCTGACATGTCAACATCTACTTCTCTCCGCATTGATTCTTGGAAAGCCGCATATGAGTGAGGTGCTATCATGTGTTATCCATGTTTACCCACGGCATTTTTGCATTTTTTGCCAATGCATTTCTGCAGATCTCTGCAGAAAAACAGCCGAGGTGAGCAGTTCTATCTGAGCACTGCAGTGGATCTCACTGATGAGGCTCGAGAGCGAGGATTCGATATGGAGCAGCACCACAGCCGCAGCCTTGGCAGGTGATATCCCTAGCCATCACATAGCCACTATAATACCTATAAAATATAATATGTTTATGTTACATATAAAACAGTATAATTACTCGTGCCATGGGTAGGGGCCAACCCCTGGCTCATGGTCATCATTTTCGAGTCCCAGAGTCCCGACTTTAACCAGTAGAACCACTCATCGTTGCCTTTTTTTTCCAAATTTCCTCAGATTGCTTAGGTATCAGATGGATCTTTTGCCAGATGATTCCTCGGATATTAAGAAGGCAAAGAGCGTGATGCGGTGGGACGCCAAGCGCAAGAAGTATTTGCCCACCATGGTCACTGTGGATGGCAAGGCTCTGAAGGGCCAGCGTCGCAATGAGAGCGGTAAGAAGGTCAAGGGTGAGGCACAGAAAAGTATCATGGCACGCAATGAATGCGCTTGGAAGATCCAACACGATTTGTTTTGCTGAGTTGATTTTAACTTGCGAGGATGTCGATGAGGATGAGGATGAGGATGATGATGATGATGATGATGATGACGATGACCACCACCATGTTTGGATAAATTGCGGGAAATCTCTAGAAGAATATGTTTCCAATAGATATAGAGGAATGTGGTGTTCCATTTGACTTTCGTCCCGTTTTTTCAGTAATGTGAAAACATGTGGGAGGTTCCCTAAATCCCAAATCAAATTATCCAAAATTACTGTAGACAATTTTACTATTGAAATCCATGGTTTTGGGGTACCTCCATTTTAGGAAACCTCCATGTTTATCCGCAACTGCCGGCCAAACATTTGTTTTGCTGGATGGCTGTCAGGTAACATCTACGAGAAATGGTCCAAGGCTACGAAGCGGCGAATTCAAAAGGTTGGGGAAGTGGAAGATGTCGATGCCCTCGGCAAACTGAGGACTGGTTGGTTTTCAGGGATTCCCCTTTTTTTGTTAGAGTATTCCGGATATTTCCGGATGGTTGACCGGGGTTTGAGATGAACCAGCAGGCTGGAGTTTGATGATCAGAAAACCATAGAAAACCATAGAAAACCATAGAAAACCATGAACAATCATGAACAACAATGATCATGAAATCCCCACCAGCGAGTGGAAGCAACCACTGAAGTATAGGTGTGGGCAGTGATCAACTAGATGTTTCACGATTTTCGCAGGGACCCAATCTCACCAAGTGTTGGCAATTTTCGGCCACGTGTTTGATTAGGCATATATCATTCGTGCGCCAAGTAAAACATAATTGCCTTCCTGTAATCAAACATGGCAATGGGAAATCCTCCACAAACAGGCATTTAAGATGTTAAGCTCGTCCAAAAGTGGATGATTTTCCATTGCCATGTTTGATTGCCAGAGGAAGTGCCAGAGAGCCAATGTCCGGAAAGTGGTTTGTGAAAGGCATGATGTCTTTGAGGAGTCATGAGACACAACAATCAGAGAGGCAAACATTGGGGGACCCAAAAAACCATGAAAAACCGCCATTTCAGCTGATGGAGATAATATGCTGATGGATAATGTGTGGATATTCATGGTCTAGTCATGGTCTCGTCATGTCAATTTCTATAGGAGAAATGACATGAAATCTCCACTACAAGGACACGCCTATCATTCGTGTCCTCACATTTCTCCTATGCCAAGTGATTGATGCTTGTTTCTGGTTTGAGCTGCCCAAAAACTATCATCACTTCCAAGTGGCTATGGATCAAAACGTAAGGCCTAGGGCCTAGGCCTAGTTGTATTCAGAATAGTCTTCTACAAACCGACACCTAAGTCAATTTCCATTTATAGATGGTTTTCCCGATAAAACCTCCATTCATAGAGGCTTTCAATTGCCATGTTTGACTCTTAGATGGTATTTAAAATTATTTAAATGTATCTAACACATCGACCCCCAGTGAATTTGATGAGCAAATTTCACCAGATCCAGGAAGACACAATCGAACACCGTGGACTTCGATGCCGCCGGAGAAGTGGAAGATCCGACGGTTCGAAAGCCGATTGTGCCCTGGAAAATCCTTGGGTGTGTCTGGAAAGGAAAAGGAAAACCCTCGAAATCCAGTAGTTAATCATAAATGATTTAATTATCCCAGTAAAAATGACATGTTTTTTTTGGTATGACCCAACTTGACACATCTACTGTTGAAATGTTTGGAATATATATATATATATACACATATTCTTCATCATTCCCCATACCATAAGCCATAATCGTAGGCCAAAGATGTGGTTCGAAGATGCTTGAAGGGTTTACCGTATTTCACTAACAGTATCTATAAGTGATGTTAGAAATCATGCGGAATCCGGAGATGTTTGTTTGGAGTTTGGTGAACATATCATATTGTACAACAATACAATACACTAATACGCCGTAATATGCATCTAAGTTTATCCATGTATTCATGTGTTCCATTGAAAGGTTTGACATGTTCAGGATGACTGATCCAAATCATTTCAATGATTTTCGAAGTCCCAAAATCCGACTCACACAGGATAGGTTTTAGTGACAAAATGATGCTCGATCTTCTGCCCTCTGACTGGGATGATGTCTTACTTGAGCCGCGGCTTCAGCGATCAGGTACCTTTCCATGGGAAGGTGTCCGAGCAATATTTGACACACAAGCAGAAGAGGGCGCTGAACAAGCGAGCCAAGTAACTGATTTGCAGAAGCAAAGTCAAGTCGCGTTCCCGTTGATTTTCCCCATCATTTTCCCCATGGATATCCCCAGTGGCTTCAACTTACCCTTGGGATCATGGGATATCCATGGATCGTGGCTGTCAGCGCCAAGGCTGGATTCTGTGTTGGAAGGAGAAGGGAAGAAGGAACTGAAGACCCCACAGCAGATCCAACTGGAAAAGAAGCAACGCGAGAAGAACAAGTTGAAGCAAAAACCCTGGCTACGAAAGCAGCGGGCCAAAGAAAACAAAGAGGCCCGCATGAAAAAGCGAGAGGAACAGCAGATGCGTCCCTCGTCAGCCTATCTGATCAATTTTTTGGAATGTTTTGCCAGAGTTGAATTTTGGGTCAAGGAGGGATGGTGACCCCACAAGGAAGTTGAACATAGTCAACTCTATGTAGATACTATCACTAACACGTCAGTTTTTCCACTTTTTCCCCGTATGAATTCTCCACTCCCGGACTAGTCAGTGACTCGTCCGCAAGAATCATTTCACTTTGTATTTTGGTGCAAGGCTACGGTGCCCGCACCAAAGCGAAGATGCTGATTTTCGAGGGCCCAAGGCAATGGAAGAAGCGCAAGTCTGCGCCGCAGAAAGGCTATGGTTCGCGGCACAGTCTTTAACTGGGCACGGGAAGAATCATGAAACGATTGGCCCAAGGAAAATAAGTGTAAGAAAATATGTAAGTTTTCTATGTTTTCCTGACCCAGCCATCTCTGGTGAAACCTAAGCCATACCACAGTGCGTAGATGTGCGTAGCTTGATAATGACCTTTGACTGGAAAATCCCACAAAATCCCCAGTCAGCCGGAAAGTGATCGCCTGCTGTCCCATTGATATTTGAAGGATTTTGCAGGCAATCCTGGCTGATTCCCTGGATTAGTAAGGGTTTCTACAGTGTCCATCAAAGAGAATAAGATGTTTGGCTTAGATTTGAATTCTTCAGTTTCGTGGTGACAGCCAAATTCTGCAAGAGGTTCTCATCTCTTCCTACTACTGCAGTATTTTGCTTCATCAATGGGACCTTGCAGGGTCAGGTCTATCCAGTCCCTTTCGTGGAGTTTCACCCGCGCAACGCGACGTGGAGAAAGGGCTGACACCTGGGATATACTTGTGGGACCCATGGGAATGAAAGTCAAATTTGTTCTCCCAGGAAACCACTGATGTTCGAAGATGTTGGTCATTGTTTTGTTTTAAAGCAGATTGAACCATGCTGTTTTGGGGTACTTGTTTCTTTCTAATGAACTGTAGTGTTTGATGATCCCAATTCATTTGCTGAACTATCTCAAAATGATAAATAATGCACCTCAAGTTATGTGGATGGCATGATTATGGCCTTACCATAGCTTCAAGCATCGCCACTGCAGCTGCCAGGATTGTCACAAGATCTATTTATCGACCACCGCCGCAGAACATATGGTCAGGCGACGCATATACCCAAAGGTTTGGGATGATTTGGATCCAACATGAAGGCCACTTCCAAGAATTGGTTGAAGTGAAAATCTACACCCCGACATCCCTTATGTTGATGCCACCTTACATGACCCAGGGCTCTTTCTCTGTGGTGCCACAGCGACCAGACATGTATGTGGAATATATATACATTGAATATATGGCATTGTTTAGCTATGGCTATGCCATTGAATGATTCTACATGATATCATATCATTTTATATGACATGCCAATACAGACATTCTAATACTATGTTCTTAAAGACTTAAACAATCTTAAGGACATGATCGGATTTGTATATCATACAATCCATGCATTTCAACTCTGACTCTGTGCATTTGACGGCAACGTGTGTCCGACAGGCGGCGCGATGGACAGCCCTTCGATAAGAGCAGTGCGCCTCCCATGGCTGGGTTCTAGCGATCAGTCAGTTGTGTTGACGTTGCGTATACGTTAGGAAATCAAACTGAAACTAGGGAACTGTATATCAAGTCTTGATGGTTTATCATCATTCATGATGTTTTTCCTTCAAAACTGCTATTTGGGGATATTTGGGGTGTGTTTGTCCCATTTTCAGACACGCCCCAAATATCCGAAGATAGCTTCAGAAGGCTTGTGACCTTCTGTTCATAATGTTTCACAAAGCTTCCATCTGTATTTTCATATTATTTCATATTGATGGGCATGAAGTTTAGAAACTTGCTTCGTCACCAAGAAATTTCGGTCAGCGGGCCTCATGTCGACTCCGAAGTCCACCAGTAGATTGAGTTTTTTCGGGGCTGAAGTCCACGACCCAGAGAATTCCACTGACTTTGATATAGTTTACTAGTTGAAACCATGAAACTTATGGGATCCTCCAATTTAGCTCTGGGTCTCTAGGAATGGGTGAAAGGATCATTCCTGACGGTCACGAAACTGTGCCAGTAGCCGTGACACATCTGAGACCTTTCTGAGACCCAACAAGTCATTGGTGCTATGAGGCTACTACAGTCAGCCTGATGACTACGAGCCCATTTTTCAGGAAGTCGGTAGCTTTTTTGCAGACTGGGAGTTCAGATGTTGGTCAATCATGGTCAATCTCAATATTGATTCAATATTGACCCATACACAATATGACATCATATGACGTCATACGTCATGTCCACAGTTTGATCGAAGCCGGAGCAGGTCTCAAAGTTTGACCCCAACATGTTGCAACGAATCTCGGAGATGTGTCTGTAGGTCAACCATTTTTGCACTTTTAAGGTCCTTAAGGAGTCCTTACCATTTGCCAGAATGTGTCTCCAGAAGAATTCTACTTGGCTCCTTCCCACATCTATTCATTGCCCCGAAAGCTGGGCAGGACACTGTGTTGCCATATGCCACAGTGGTCTTGAATGGTATGTACTGGGATGAGACTCGCCTGCGATGTGCGCGCTGGGGGATGCTTGGGATATATGCCAATTAGTTTCCACCTGGCCAGTTTGAGATGCAGTTTTGGGGTTTCCATGTTATCAGGTTTTTAATCTGAAGGGTACTTCAGCCGAGTCTTTTTTGGGGGACAGCATGTGAATTTATTGCTTTCGTCACCGATTCGAACACATCCGAGCACTCACCTCTCAGCAACCTCACGCATCTAAAGCAAAATAAGGTGTTTGTTTTGAGAGCTGGAAACCAATGATTGGGCTTCAGAATTGAGGGTTACAGTAGTTCCGAACTGGGATATCTTGATCTACATCAGGAGGAGTGATCCTATAGTAGGCAACGGTCACTTCTCCCATGTTCTTGGGTTCATCTTGTGTTCATGGATGGTTGTATGCCCCTTTGGGAATTCGTTTGAGTGTGTGTGTGTGTACCGAAAGCAAAACAGTTCAGCGTGAAATGAGGATGCACATGCAGATTTTTTGAGGGCACCTTACATGCAACATTTCCCCATTTAGATAATAGTTGGCTTATGCTGACTTGCCAGTTTTCCAGCCAAATTTCCCACCTGCCCTTCATCCAGAAATACGCAGTGTATTTCAGTGCCCCTATCCCCATCCACACCCCCGTGTTGGTCGAGGGTCGCAGATACATGATATACTAATATAATCTGATATATATATAATATGTATATGATAGATTATATATATATATATTTAAATGTATATTACATATAAAAATATTATATGTATATATATATAATATTATATATATTATATTAATATATATATATATATTGTATATATACATATGTATAGTATATATATATTATGTGTATATATATCATATATTCCATGTATGTATATATTATAGTGTATTATTATATTACATATGTATGATTATATGTAATATATACATATTATATTAAATATTTGATTATATCATATTATATTATATCATATTATATATATGTATGTATATATGAATATATATATATATAATGTTATATTGCATTATATTATATTATATTATATTGTATTATATTATATTATATATAATATTATATTATATATAGTATAATATATTATATATTATATTATATATTATGTTATATATATTACATTATATATTATATTATATTATATACTATATTATATATTATATTATATATTATATTATATATTATATTGTATATTATATATTATATTATATATTATATTATATATTATATTATATATTATATTATATAATATATTATATTATATAATATATTATATTATATTATATATTATATTATATTATATTATATTATATATTATATTATATACTATATTATATACTATATTTGATTATATTTTATTATATATTATTATATATTATAGTTGATTATATTATATTATATATTATAGTTGATTATATTATACTATATATTACATTATATTACATTTTATTATGTTATATTCTGTTTATGTTATATTTTTCTTATATTATAATATATTATACTATATAATATTATATGAATGTATATTTTAGATTATACTATATTATATATATACGTATATTACACAGGCTGCGCAAGTATATACATATATAGTCCGTGGACTCATTGGTTTTAGAGACATTCTATGAGAAAACATGGACGAATCAGGAGAGATTTGCCGGTGCCAGCGCACGGATTCCTGGCATCTTACCGTTACACGACTGAGGCTCGGTTTCCTCGTCTCTTTTCGACGCAGGTGGGATGAGATCAACGAATGGCAAGGGGATGTAGGTGGTTTAGCCTATATTAGGTAATTACCCTCTGGTAAACTAACACAACTAATTATGGAAAATCACAATTTTTAATGGGTAAATCAACTACGCATGGCCATTTTCAATAGCTATGTTAAATTACCAGAGGGTAAACATAGCTACGAAAAATGTCCTACAACAATAGATGATCCATGACCTATTTTCCAAAGCTTTGTTGAAATGCCTGAACCAAACTCGGTTTACACATTTGTTTGGTGGTTTCTAATCGATTTGATCCTAGGATGGAGTGGGCTCAATGGTCACCAGCTGATGCAGACCTCACTGTTCACAGATTGTTGCTTAATATGGACTAGTTCACCCAAATCAGCAGCACAAACCAGCACAAACCAGCACAAAGGAATGAAAATGACGTATCTTTCGAAATCTTGGGGATACTTTGAAACCCCAAGCAGTTGACTCGGCTTGTTCAACTTGTGAATGCACATTCAGCCACACTCACCTTCCAGTTTGTTGCTTTCGACCCTGGTTGGAGCTTTGATTGAACCCAAGTCGGTATGATGCCTAGCTGACGCTCATTTCTGCGCAAATGAAGGTGATGCGTAGACGTTTCTTCTATACCTGGTTTGGCTGAACATGGAGAAATGTCATATCGCACATTTTCACACGAAAGACTACTGCTTGGAGGTTTCCAACAATTGAATAAACCTATATGCTGTAAACATCTACCCACATCCACCAACGTCGGTGAAGGACCTGCATCGTCACGCGGTGAATGGACGGGACAAGCTTCTGGGGGCTTGAGACTCAGTGCAGAGCAGAAAGCCTTGTAGAGAATTGTTGATTGGCTATGATTGGGGAGTATACAGAAATAACATCAAAAAAATAAAGAGTTTGCTGTTTACTCTTGTGTAATTAATCTTGAGGTTATTTGAGTGCTATCACTTATCACTATCTTATCACTCTTGTCAACCATAGTTGGTATATCAACGTTTATCAATTCAATTGGTTGGGGTCATGAACTGAAATGTTTATGGGAATCTGAAACGAATGGTGAGGATCTCTGAGTCCCAGTCAAGAGATTGGTGTGTCAATGGGCTATCATATCATGTAATATCCACAAAGTGCTTGGTTTAATCGCACAAAAATGATGATTAACTATGGGATGGAATATGATGGAATTGCCTATCCCTGATTTTTTCAGACGCCAAATGATTTGCTTGAGGATCTGTAAGGACTCCTAGTGCTCCCGGCCGTAGCTCTTTCGCGCCATTCACGCCTTGCCAAGGTCTGTGATATCACCTGCGATGCAGACGGTTCCGTACCCACGCGTCAGTTTGCAAGCATCGAGCAGCCTTTTCACATTCTGAACGTGCTTGGCTTAGCTTGGCAATACTGAATACTGATCAAATGTACAGTAGGTAAGGGTCCCAACATTCGGGATTGCACCAGTCGGCTGGATCTGGAGCTTGATCGCAGTGACACCCTCTGGTAAACAAACAGTTTGCTATTGAACATGGCCATAGAAATAGTGGATTTTCCCATTAAAAAAAGGTGATTTTCCATAGTTATGTTAGTTTACCAGAGGGTAGTTCCTGCATATTTGGAGACTCTGTTCTTGTTTCACTGTTTCACTTTATCTTACTTGTGCATGGAGGTCGGAAGTATAGAGGAAACACACACACACACTTGAAAGACATGTTTTTTTTCATATGGCTGCTACTTTAAAACAAATGCTCAGGCGAGTTTCGGCTGTCCATCCCTTCCAGTGAGCAGATCTGTTTGGGATGGATGGCTAAATAGTTCACTCAATTATGGTTAGCTCAAGTATCTCTTCTTGCGGCCTAAGATTCTTATTCTATTCATGTCTATTCCAATTCCAGTTTCCAGGCGGTATTCACGTATATTCAGATTCACCACACCAGTTGTTTTCTACTCGAGTAGTATTGGTATTGATTCCAATATCTTCAAATATTCGAAAAATCTCATGTACGCGAATTTTCTATGTTCAAACTCCAGTGAATACGGTGTTTTTACCGCCATTAGCTTTACCATTTTCTCCATGGCAGCGCTTTTTTGAGGCAATGACCGAAGAGATCTCCCCGTGCTTGGATGAGTCGCTTGGCCATACCTGAGAAAATGGTGATTTCAATTGATTTCATGTGATTTCATCCATGATTAGTCCATGAAAATCCACTGGAATCCACTGAAATCCAGTGGAATCCACTGTTGCAGTCTCACGCAAATCCATTTATATATATATATTATATATATTATATATATATATATATTAGGCTCACTCAATCGATTTCTAATGATTTGCTGGTGTCACATTTGTGTAGTGTCCGAAAAGTGCCAGGGTATTCCCCAGAAAAAAAAAAATATATATTATATATATTATAATTATATATATATATTATATTATATATATATATTTTATATATTATATATTATAATTATATATATTTATATTATATTATATATATATGTGTTACGATATCTTTTGTCCTTTTTGGTAATTAGGGGTGCGCATGTTGTATAGTTGGGAAATGTTGGGAAAATTAAGGGCGAGCAGTTGCTGCTAGAGGATGGGTCAGAATTATTGAGCCCCGAAAATGCTTTCAGATCTGAAATTGGCAAATTGTGTGGTTTGTTGGTGCAGCTGGTACCTCAATCTTAGGCGGTACTGATGTGTGTATACAGTAGAGTCATAGATAGATACTTGTGATGCCAGATTAGATGGGGTGACCTTTTAGCTACACAACTCGGTGAAGACATTGAGTCAGACATATGCTACCCTGTTACAAGAAAAATAAGTTTTGTTGCTCGGTATCCAGAGTTAGTCACAATATCAATATCATCATGGCGTGATACCCACTGAACAAGGGAGTATAATTATAGCAAACTTGAGTATTCAACTGTCAAAGATGCGGGTTTAACTGGTAAACCCACAATGTTTTTGTTGTTTGCCAATCATGGAAGATGGACATCCCAGTATGGAAGCCACGTCTATCATCCAGCTTAGCCAATATAGTCTCGTCTCCAATGTTTGGAAACACCATAATTCGGCACTTTGTCAAAGTCATCAAAGCGTTCGATCGACATCATGACAATTCATGACCAGGGGGTTCACAAAAGGCCCCCTCCAAGGCATGACAGGACAGTTTTACAGAAACGATGAAGGCTATAAAGGTACTGGTTGGATAGGATGGTTGCTTAATCTGACCTCGAAAACTGAATTCGAATCCATCAATGTAGGTTTTAACGAGGATATGCTGGTCATTACGGCAAGATTCCTACCATGATCAATTTCGGGCCCTAGCCATGACCGGTCACGCCGCGCCTTGCTCACCGCCCAGTCCGGGGATCCTGTTCCATGCGGTGGATCACTTGCCATCCGAGCTGCCTAGAGAGGCGCGCGGAGTCGATGGATCCGGTAGCGGGGATGTCCTATAGTGATTATAACTGGTTGGCGGTTTCAAACATGTCTTATTTTTCCATATATTGGGAATAATCATCCCAACCGACTCATATTTTTCAAGATGGTTAAAACATGTTAAAACCACCAACCAGTTATAATATGTTATAATATATTATATAACTGTGATACGTTGTGGGATGAAATTATGGTAAGAAACTCAAACAGGCCCAAGCCAGAGAAATGATGGCGATACTTGAGACATCAAACATTTTCAGACCTTTTTGGCGCGGTGGTCGTATCGCTTTGTAACACTTTCATTTCATAGACGTGACTTCCCGAATAAGAACAAACACATCCATCAAATGAGCAATGCTGGTTTCTCGGTTTCTGGAGAACCGATAAGGCCTTCTGTGTTTCATGGGGGCACGCCACAGCCCACGTGGATTTTTTGGACCAGAATGGCCAGTCGTTTCAAGCTGCTGTTTACTTCCTTGTCCCCCAGTTTAGATGATGTCATTGAGCCAGTTGATTAAGATGATATGGTTATTATGGATTAGTATTATTATATAATGTATATATACATATCATATATATATATTATAGTTTTAATAGGAATAATATATATAAATATATATTTAACACATTCTTTCTCAGTCGACATGACATGTTTCTTAGATTTCTTCGGGTGTTTCTGTTGTGAAAAAATGTCTCCGTTGTCGATGCCGCAGTCCTCGGAACACTTTGGCGATTGCTTGTTGCCTTTCCTTCCCAGTCTGGCCTCGAACCTCGCGTTGGAGCACTAAGTGATGTGTCGATTGCATCGGATGGCGAGAATTTTGGGAAGTTTCATGAATCTCAGAATGGCTTCAAGGGAAAAACAGCATGTAGTTTTTCCATGAAGACAATTCGTTGAATGACACTTCCCCTGTCACTTCAAAGATTGAATCTTCATTCCTTGTAGGATCCCAGAAATAGCTGAGGCCACTATCACCTCTTCCTGGTGCTGCACTCAGAAAAGATGTTTTCGAACATATTCGAAAGATGTCGTTTTACTGGGAATTTGACTGGCACAGACGGGATGAACAATCCCTGGATAGAGAGAGATAGAGGCAAGGCACCAAACAGGTACAGTACATACAGAATCATACAGAGATTCCGGGAGTTTTGTATGTTTTTAAATCGGCTTAATATCAAGCAATTGAGATCCAAGAATGGACCTTCATTCATTGCTGCAATTCAAGAGCTGTATGGTGTTGTTATTCATAATTAGAATTATACAACCACCCCAGATTTATCAATCATTTGGTCACTTTGAGTATGGAACTGACGAAACCATTCATTTTGAGCTGGATGACCCGTCCATTCTTAAAAAAGTGCTATAGCTGGATCATGGTCCCATCATTGCATCCCTGGATTTGCTGAATCTGTTCATGAATTGGGGGCCCAGTCATGGGGTGTATTTCACACATGTTGATCAGGAGATGGGATGCATGAACTTAATCAACCATCATGCATCAACCAAGTCAAACGATCGTTTCGTTCATCCATATCCGATTATCCCAATAAATTGATTGTTAACCATAATCAACTTCACCAAGCAGTTGGTAGCTTTGAAACACTTCTTTCAATGTTCATCCCCGGAAATGGAATGCGACGCCCAAGAGTTATCAGTGGTGTAAGTGGTTGAAAAAACACCATTACTTCATTAGTATAACACATTATCCTAACTGCTTTGTGGTATGCTTATTAGAGGTCATTCGCCACTTCAAAAATGATATGGTTATAATTATATAGTTATAATAATGTTATACTATATATATATACATACACTAATATTACTAACATATATCACTAACATTTACTAACTATGGATATATTCCCTACTGAACACCGATGGGCCACCTGGGCCACCAGGGCCACCTGGCATGCTGAGGTGATGCCCTGGCTGGCTCCGAGAGCTTGCCGAGCCTTTGGCATGGTCGAAGTGTGCTGGGCTGGGGTGAAGACACAGAAGTACTGCTATTAAGTGGGAGAGGATAAGAAAGATCATAGAAGTTATATATAAGTTATATATATAAGTTATATATTATATATATAAGATCATATAAGAAGAAGTGTAGAATTGAAGGGCGCCCCAATTTTGAGGGCATGGACAGCCATCATACCCCAACTGCAGCTATTTTCCAGCCAAATATCCGTAGACAGTAATATCATGAGTGCACACTCAAAAGTGATTGTTTTCCTACTCAAGTAATCATTTCCGTCATTGGAAATTAATCCCTAAATCCCAGTGGGTGGGATTCCATGTCACTACAAGTGAGATTGTCATTTCTATTTGCTTTTCTAGGGGGGTTGATGTCAGTTTATCCGTTTGCATCTGTCATGCGATATCCCATGATTCTCACAGATGTTCACCATATGATCTTATGTATACATATATATATATATACATATGTGTGTGTGTGTGATCTTATCTAATCTTATATATATATAACCTATATGATGATCTGATTCTTTGCAGTTGGGGTATGATGGCTGTCCATGCCAAAATTGGGGCGGGCTTCAATTCTTCGTAATGGTGGCCCCCTCGACCCCAAAGTGACCAGCAGTTTGATATTTTTTTACAATTGTGTGAGCCATTGTGAGCCTATCTTTGTGAACAATGCCAATTTCAACAATGGTGACATGCCTTTGATTTTCTGCATTGGCAAGTTGTTAAGATATGTTCGGATGCTAAAACTGACATGGGATTAAATCTAGGTCCTAGGTTCCCTTATGGCATACCTTATGGAAACTGGGGCCTCGCATTTTGCAGAATGAGCCCAGTGTTGGCCCCAAGTGCTGTTACACTTTTCGCACACATAAAATCAAGAACGCTATCGTGTTCGACGAGTTTGTTTTTGCTTTCCGAAAAAGGCCATGAGTTCGACACTCATTAAAATTCCATTGGATCCCATTAAATCCCATTAAAATCCCATTAAATCCCATTAAATCCCATTAAAATCATTGGATCCCATTAAGATTGGTAGCCACACGTGCCATACCCGCATATTCGCCAGGATGCAGATTCGCGGGGCCATTATCACAGAGGGTGGGCAGTTGGCTCGCGATTACCGTGGGGCTTCCTGGGTGTGGGTGGCTGGAACCGACATTTTAGATCATTTTCAAGGTACCGTATGTACAAGAATGTACAAGACTTGGTTTCCTGTGGTTTTCTTTCACCAATCCTTTATCCTTTGATACAGCTGGTGATGAGATTCACATGGAGATTCCTGGCACATCCCTTTTGGCCAGGCTATATCCAGCAGCTGCGAGGTGTCCGAGAAGGAAAGGCGTGGGCGGGGAGTCATCCCATCTCCCTGATATTCAACACCCCTATGGTATGGTCCCAAGCATGTGTGGTTTCTGTGGGGTGTTTACTGTAGTATGCATGGGTGATGGGATTATTCCTGACAATCAGCTGCGTATGATCCCTGAATGATCATGAATGATCCCTGATGTGAGGGGTACCATGTAGACTCACTGTAAATGGACATTATCACATTATCACACTCTTGCACACTGTAGTGTTGAGTCAAGAAGGGGTCGATATATATATATATATATGTATATATATATATGTATATGTATATATATATATATATACATAGCTGGATCAAGCTGGATCTTGATCTACTCAAGGCAAAAAAATGCCTCAAGACATGGAGAAGCCTAGAGATAAAAATGGCCATGGAATCGACCATTTCTATAGACACTCCCATATCGACAATCATAGGTAAAATAGGTCTGGATAAATTATAATGACCTCACTGCAACGGTATTGCAACGTCACTGTAATGATGGTCAGTAAGGGATACTTATCCCCAAATTGCCTAAAATTGTTTATTGGATTTCAATGGAGTTCAGGTGAACTATATATGACATATTTTTTCCAGATATAGGTATCATCAAGGTCTCAGCTACAGGTGGTTGATGCAGTGGAGGAGAACATTTCCACCGTCCCGATGCCTCCCGCATGCTGCCGCTCGGCGTAGCGACGCACGCAACGGTGCTAACCGGTTTCTTGGAGGTGCTGGAGAGCAGACCGATTTTTTCAGGTTTGTGAATCATTGGAAGTTACCCTCTGGTTATTTTACATAGCTATGGTATAGATGGCCCATTTACAGATGATTTTCCCAGAAACCTCCATTTGTAATGGATTTTCCATAGCTATGTTAAATAACCAGATGGTATCCAGATGGGTTCATTTTTGTAACTGCAGTCCGGTGTATATTGACTGTTGTTGAGACATGTTAAGAGAATGGATCCGTCATTTCCTGTTCTCCATTGGGTTTTTACGTATCTAAGCTTACTCACAGAGTCTGTGGTTTGCCCAGACTCTGAGATTGAGGATGTAGTGTTGTGCAGTATGATTTGTGAGAAATTGCACCAGACTTTTCGTGTGTTTTCCGGTTTTGGGTGGTCTTTATGTTTCAGCTTCAGGGTTGGAGCAGCGTCACAACCTTGTCCCCATGATTTGATCGCTATAAATGCAGTGGTATCCCCGTTTTCAGATGCCAAACCCATATGGGCTTGTCTGAAAAATAAGGTACAAATCCCATGGTTTATCATGATGTTCCCTCTCTAAATGGCTATTTGGGGGAATACATCATTTTCAGACTTACCCATATTCCCATATATACATATATATATATATGTGAAAATCATTGAACACAGATGAAAATGCTGGATCCCATGGCAGCTCAGGTACTTTGGAATTCACCGGACATTTGTTTGATTCGTGGGTCTCCCAGAAGGGCTTCTCAGTTTCTTTGCAGGCTTCGATGTCATCAAACATGGCCGAGAGATCCTCGAACTAAGCATGCATTTTCATATAAAGTCAATGCTGAAATCATTTACCGGCGAATGTTCCATGTACTCGTACAGGTTTGATTGCCGAGGGCAAGTTCACAACGATTCGCACTTCGAGCATTTGGAAATCCAGGTCGAATCTCTTCGAAGTTCCTCCCAAAAATCATCGCCCCAGTTGAATATGGTTTGTTTGGAAGCAGGCACCCCTCTATCCATCGGTTTAATTATCATATATAATCTTATGTTAGTAATGTATTATTATATTATATTATATTATACTATACTATATTATATTATATTATATTGTATTATATTATATTATATTACAGTATATTATATTATATTATATTATATTATATTATATTATATTGTATTATATTATATTATATTACAGTATATTATATTATATTATATTATATTACTGTATATTATATTATATTGTATTATATTATATTATATTATATTATAATGTAATATAATATATATACATATCACCAATGAATATTGAATATATCGACATGATGATGTATTCCCATTTTTCAGCGTTGACTCCAGTGGTAAGCGCTGTAACTACTATGGAAAGTCATGTCAAGTTGTTTACCGCTTAGGCGTCTCATCAATCGCGTGGCGGACTTATGTGAGGAGTCCGTGGCGCGAATGCAGATCTTGGTGTTGGAAACTCAGATTTCCGGCAGGATGAGGGCCATTTCCGGCAGATGGATCCAGTTGGGCACAGATGGTAAACAGCACTGGCTGATGACTATTCAAGTGACTATTCATGAGCAATTAGTCAGTAGATGTCAGTGGTTTCAAAGATTTGATGTTGGGATATGCCAACAAACGTGCCAGAAGTTGCTTCAGACTTAGGATATGAGGCGTGTTTTTGATGGCCATAATCCTGCGACAGATGTCCCAGAATTGGGTAAAATTAACATTGGACACTCCAATTTGAGACAGCCGGCTATATGCAAATCCATCAGGAGTTATTCGCACCTGTCAGGGGCTCCCAATGGTATCAGATCAGCAGTTTTATGTGTTTTTTTAATTGAAGTTGATTGACCTTGAAAAAAACACACTTATATTAAACTTATAACATTAACATATAACCTGACTGCCCGAAGTGGCAGGGTTCTAAGTGAGACGGTTCTTGCTTTTGGAAAATCCCCGTCCCCATCCCCTTGCGAGGCTTGACTTGGGAAGGACTGTGAATGACGAGAGCTTTTGCTCGATGATGGTGAGCTCGAATAACTGGAACCATGGAACCATGGGGCCATGGGGCCATGGGGAGTGGGAGATCATCCAGTACCAATTATGATCCAAACATCATCCCCAGCATGTCATCCCAAAAATGATCCATGGGGATAGCAGATAGCATCCCAATGGGGATATCATCCCAAATGTTGTTTTTCTCATGTATCACCAATCATGGTAATCCCCAATGTAGGCACAATATGTGACGAAAATAGAAGAGTCTACCCGTCTGCAAAGTGACACTTTGATCTGGAAAACCGACCATTTGTAGATCATGTTCCGATTTTCCGAACCGGAAAACATGGGTGTTCCACATCTATTTCACTACCTTGGGGTAATTGACATTTATATCATTTATCGGGGATATCATGGGCAAACATGGCTGGCTAATCCCCGGAAGATGAGCGATGAGCCGCCTGGTTGTGATGGAGGGTGACTATAGATACCAGCTCTCTTGGAGGTTACCCCAATAAAACAACGGGATACCGGGATACCTATCGACATCTATTGACCAGGGCCATAGGATAGCGGTATTTTTCATGGTTCAGCTGATACATGGATGGTGTTCGGAACGGCAGATGAGGATCCAACGTCAGAATGGGATGATTATTTAATCCATGGATGATATGCCTGGCTTCGCCATGAGGGCGGCTGGTTGCATTCTGTGAAGTCATTGTCATGAATAGTCCATTGAGGCCGTGATGGGAAAACATGACCCCGGTCCATGCAGGTGATGGCTTCATCGGAAAAGAGTCTGGCGAAACTGGTGGCGAAGTCACAAACTTAGCGGTACAAACACTGCCCTGCTGAGGTCTATGTATATATATATATATGCGTGGCCGGAACAAACAATGGATGGTCTCCGATCCCCCAAAACGAGTAAAAGTCATTGGTATCAATTTGTCAGTTACCGGCAGTTCAGGGTCCTATTGGCGACATCCTTCAAGATGTCTATATAAATTCTTTCTGTTACAGTGACGCCGCCAACCGATTAAAGCACCAGAAATGACGGTTGAAGATGATTTATGTATTGAAAACCATCAAAAACAATAACAACGGCACTTGAAATACTAAACCGAGATATTTTCCGATGATGCAGACATGTCTGAGCAAGTGTGTTATGGGGAAACTTCCATCACCAGCCACTAATGGTAAGTAATCCCATCCCCTTACCAAAAAATACCAGCCACACGTCGAGGCCAGCCTTGGTCACTAGGTCACGAAACCTGGCACTGGACATGTCTAACATGAATCAGTTCTGTCTTTCTCTCTCTCTCTATATATATAGATATCATTATATTATATCGTATATTATCTTAAATTATATTGATATAGTATAATGTTATAATATATAAACATAATATATATAATCGATGTAGCGTTTTTTTCATTGCCAGGTTAGAGCTTTGGCTCCGAGGTTGCAGACTGCAGCCACTGAAGCTGGTGTTTCCCACCGGCAAGCCACAGCAGGGGCCTTGCCAACAGCCAGCAAGGACTCCTTCCACGGGTGCTGGTGCCATGGAACATCTATGAACATGTGGAGATTCATTTGAACAGGTGGGTGTTTCTTTGAGTGTGGTTGGGAGATTCATGGAGATTCATCTCACTGTTTTGGGTTCTGTAATGTACCAAAAAATAATCAGACAACAATCGAACATCATCAAAAACAAGGTTGGAACTCGCCAAAACACCAAGCAGAGACGGGAATTTACCCACTAAATGAGGGGGATAGCTGCTTCATGACCATGGTCTGTTTATGGACAGATTGTCCGGGTATACCTCTGGAATTGGGGATGAACCATGGTCACTACCCCGGCAACTAGTTGGGATAACTATTCAGAGGGGGCAAAGCTAACCTTTTGCATACCTTTGGACATAGATTTCACTCATGGTCACCAAGATGTTTTCGGAGGATTGTCTTGTTGTTCTGTTTGATCATGTTTGAGGATTACCCTCTGATAAACTAACATAGCCACTGAAAATGGTCATTTATAGTTGATTTACCCATTGAACATAGTGATTTTCCATACTTATGTTAGTTTACCAGAGGGTATGAGGATTGAAACACATTGAAACAATCCAAGTTTACCATGGTTTTAGGGTGGAGCAGTGGATTGATCGGAGCGATACTGGAAAGATGGAGTTACTTTGGGGTACCAATTTCGATCCAAGTTGGATCCAATTTCAAGTTTGAGTTTTTCTTTTATGAGAAATTATATATATATATATATATGTGTGTAATTCTGTGATCATTGATGATCTTCGATGATGCTTCCCAGCCCAGGACTTTTCAGAGCCTTCGGTGTCCAGTCCTGGCAAAAAGGCTGCCTTTGTTGGATGAAATCGGCTGGTCCGCGGATTGGATGAAGGACCAACTTTACCCAATTGGTATCCCAAGAATATGGGGATGATCGATCTCTCTGATGGTTAATGAGGGAAAAGTCAGGGCTCAACCCCATTTATGTATGTAGGTTTATGGCCATTCTAGGGAAAAGTATGTGAAACCATGAGTTTTATCTTGATAAGCCAATGGATTTCTGAGAACATTTGAGATCCACGGAGTACCCTATGTTCAGACAGCCAATATGACCGTTTATGACCATTGAAAAAATCCTCCTGATCTTCGGGGTGTAAATTCAGTGCCCACTTGCGTGGCGATCCAATGGCTTGAATTAGGTCAGAGAAAGATAGATGGACAATGGACATTGAAGATATAGTCATAGAATATAGAATTGTCTAGAAAGATATGTGAGCCACCCCAAAAAACCCGGCAATATTAAACATGTACTGTAAGGGACTGACATTGGCTTGTGGAAATCTATGGAAATTGTTAAAGACACGAGGTAAGCGATGGGACCTTTCCAAATTAGCAATACCCCCTTTCAAGGTAATGTCATTTTGAACATTGATTTCTGACGTCGTTTGTGAACCAGATTTGGGCCCACAAGGGTACGTGCTCCTCAGAAAGTGTTCTTCGTGATATCCATGGAGTGGTCCGCAGAGAAGGGAATCCGCAGAAGTGGAAGCCAAGTCCCTGTAAACACGTTTATTTTATTAGATGCCAGCACATCCTTGCCTTGCATGTTTTCATTGACTCTCCACTTGAATTTGTGCCATTTCGATTGCCTCTCCACTGACTTTATCTCCCCACTGCTGTTGTTTAGTGAAGCTTTTTTGTGACACTGACAAATTATTGTCGTTGCTGAAGAGTGTTTCCATTGACCCCCCATGTGAACTTGCACTGTTTTGCTTGCCTCTTTGCTGACTCTCTGCTGTTGTTACATGAAGCTGCTTTCTGGCAAAGTACTCGTACTACAATGTTGCTACAGTATCAACACATACCAAATTTGGAAAATCATGCGGTGAATTTTAGCGGTGCCCTAGCGATGCCTAAGCGATACCCACGCGATACCCCTTTTTCTGTTCCAGACACCCAGGTGCTCATCAATTTGTGACGCATTTAGGTTTTCTGGTGGCAAGCTAGATAGAGATAGCTAGGTAGATAGGTAGATAGGTAGCTAGCCAGCTAGCCAGCTAGCCAGCTAGCCAGCTAGCGAGCTAGCCAGCCAGATATATAGAGAGACAGCAGACAGACAGACAGACAGACAGACAGATAGATAGATAGATAAAGATAGACTGGCATTCTATCTGACATTCTTTCTGGCACAGGTTCGGGCCTGTAGGGGCCCGGAAAGCTGCCAACCGCCATAGCATTCAGGTTTGTACGCCCGAGCTGGAGAGCTCGCTATAGAGTGGCTGTGTAGAGGTGGCTGGCGAACAAGCTGGCTGTCCATGCTGGCGTTGGGAGAAAGAGATTTGCAAAGCACCTCTTCCAGTAGCACCTCCTCAGATAGCTCAGGGTCGTGCAGCGAAGATTCCTCCTGATCAAAAAGGAAGCGCAGCCTCCGCTCTGGAGTCAAGTAGATCATTATTTTTTCCTGCAAGCGATGCGCTCCAAGTTTGCCATATATCCTTTTTGTGCAAACGTGTGGTAGCGATGGGACCTTTCCAAATTTGTGGATGTCCATTCCGTCAACCTAGGGTTTTCGAGATTGCTCATGTAGATAAATTTATAGATAAATATTTCAACATGCGTTAATATACATGTAACACTATTATGAATATGTGTATGTTCATGTACGTATTAGTGCGCACGTCAATTTCAGATCCATGTCGATCCTCCAGGTGTTGGTGCTGGGCTCCGGCCACGTGGCTCCTCCTTTAATCGCCTACTTGACGCGGAAGGCCACGGAGGTTTGCGTCGTCAGCGTGGAGCAGAAGGAGCTCAACGCTCTGAAACGGATGCCAGGCACTGGGGCACTGGGGGGATGGCCATGGGTTTCATAGATTCTGGATGGATATATCGGATAAGTCAAATATCAACAAACATGATGGATTTTGTTTCAGGCATATACAACATACATAAGTTGATATACATAGGGGACTTGTGTTCAGAGATTAAAAGGGAGTATCACAGGCAAAGAGTAAGAATAATAATAGATAGTCACCATGTATCCTACATCAAATATAAATGATAACGGACCCAGTTGCCCGTTAAAAAATCATGTTACCCCAAAATCCACTTGTTGGTCATCATTAATGCCTTTTGAAAAGGTTTCTGTATAAATAGGGGGAATACGGTAGAAAGGTAGACTCTATTTCTGGACAAACCGAAATGAGTGTAAATGGGTGAGTTTGTTTCATGAGCAAAAGGGATTGATTATCACCCGCAGACATGGACATACGTAAAAAAAAATGAATGTAAATGATTATTAACGATATGCAACTGAAGTTTTCTGAAGTGACATTTTCTGTCCATCCTCACCTTCGGATTCCAATCCCTTTCAACGGCCTTTTTTGAAGATTCCATCTTAAATTCCAAGTGCGCAATTAAGGCATATTAAGGCTGCACTTGCTACCAACTGCTTGTCGAGCAATTCGGGGGTTTGGCGCTACATCAACCAGTGATGAAAGTCCTGGCACATTTATTGTTGCCAGCGGTTGTCCTGCCTTGTTTTATGGATGTTGTATGGATGTTTTATAAATGATTTATGGATGTTTACAGTACATTATATACTGGTACAGTATAAGTTGTGGTCACCCCAGTTACAGGTTTTAAGTCGGATTGTAACTCCCATTATCTAGTTCGATATATCTACCACAATTCCTAGCTGGCCTGGCTATAAACCAACTTAGCTAACGAACTGGGGCACCACATTGTGAATCTGTTTGTCTATAATAAATCAATGATGGGACCCTGTCAATGAGAATCACTCCAGCAATGACGCTTTGGAAACCACCCAACACGCTTCGAATTTGGCCAGGGAACGAAAGAGTGCAGACGGAGGCCCATTTGGGTCCTGCACAAGGTCTCTCCTAGGGCAGGTTAGCTCCAGATTATGTGTTTTTCCAGCATTTATGCATATATCATTCCATACAAAAGATAACCCAGCAACACAGGCCTGTGTTGCTAGACTTGTTAAGTCAGGTGGTTGATGTGGCTGCGGCTGAATCAACTCCTGAAATTGCCCGCAAGTTGGAGGATTTGGTGAAGGCGCGCAGAGAGTTGCACATTCGTGACTCAGGTGGATGTTTGGATTTTAATGTTGTTTCCAGAAGATGCACATCCAGTGGTTCATAGGAATTGTAATGACAACAACATAATCAATCTATTTGATTATAACAGAAATATAAACGTAGTTTTACTATTCTAATTTCTACCTATTACCACAGTAACCATGATGATGTGAAAAGAACACTATTAATAACATTCTTAGCGAACCCAAGAAGAGAACGCAGTCTGGACAACCGTTGTGGATAGTATTATCCGTGGCTGTTTTGAGTGGAGTAATATAGTCTATAGATGTCTATAGTTGTAATTTTTTATATAATCCGATAGATTATAGCTAACACTCTACCAACCAAACCAGTCATATGAGAATTAGGATACTTGTAGCTTCTGACTCTATGACCAAGCCACACTTACTCATGCCGCCTTTCTTCACGTGGCATGGCCTCCTTGATGAGCGTCAATCAAAAGCCCACAGATCATGACAACCTCAATTTTTTTTCCAGAT